GAAGTTGAGAAGCAGCAAAGGAACTACCAAGCATTTAATAGGCTTCATTTATGAACATCTAGAGCTGAAAATAATTACACAGGTTTCAACAAAGCTGGTCAGATTTTCGTTTCTGCAGTAAATACTCTTAAAACTCAGCATTAAAACAAAGGAGCCCTAAATATCCAGGTATTACTGTCATTAACTACTCTACTATGTCTTAACACTCACATGCATTTGCATTAGTAGGGTGTCTTTGCCTATCTGGTAGTGTACTTACCTAGTGAAGAGAGCAGCCTGGTTTCCTTTTCTTGCTGGTTTCGTCAGTTACTGTTGTTTGTTCTTAAACATAGCTAGAGGAATCCCACTTAGATTTGCTAAACTCCATGGCTGATGAACTGGAGGAAGTGTTGAAAAAATTTGCTCTGTCTAACCTAGAACAGGATGGAGCGTGGTTAGAGTTGGATGATATTGATCCAAGAATCACTGAATGTAGGGATAGCATCATAGGGAAGATAAGAGGAGAAAAAGTGACAAACTTTACTGGAATTAAGAATTTTGTGACCGCAGCTTGGGGATACCCCAAAGACTTCCCTATGGCCGAGTTGAGGCCTAATCTGTTTCAGTTCTTTATTCTAGATGTTGAGAGCAGATTAAGAATTCTTAGCGGTGGGCCATGGTTGATAGATAGCCAGATACTCGTACTCCATAGGTGGGAGGCAGGAATTGAGGAGAACTCAGAAGCTTTCAAATTCGCCCCGCTCTGGGAACAAGTATGGAATTTTCCTATTCACTGGATATCTAAGGAAGTTGGGAGAAAGATTGGGAATGTTATTAAGGAGGTTAAAGAGGTGCTAATTCCTCATTCTGGGGGTAAAGAAGGGAAGCATCTTAAGCTACTAGTGATTGCAGACTTGACACAACCACTGTTGAGAGGCACAACAGTTAAGATGAATGGAGTGCTAAAATGGATTAGCTTTAGATATAAAAGAGTGCCTGACTTCTGCTATAAATGTGGAATAATTGGCCACAGTGAAAAGAAGTGTAAAAATATGGTGAACATTAAGAAGGGGCAACAAGAAAACCAGTATGGACCCTGGTTGCGAGCTTAAACTGGGAAAGGATCCCCTCAAAAGGAAGACAAATACAGCTCGTATAATCCAGATAAACAAGTGTGGGGTTTTCAAAATGAGGAATGGATTAGGAAAAGCTGTGGGAAAAGTATAGAGCAGGAAGCCTGCCCTGTTAGGAATGAGAGTGTTAAGGACCTGGTTCTGACTAGAAGCACAGACATGCTGCAGATTCAAAAGAAACTGCCTACTGAGAGAACACAAATTTCAGAGCAGGAAGATGAGGAGATCCTGGATACACAAGGGGCGGTTTGGGGGAAGAAAATGGAGGAATGGAAGGATGAAGAGAAACAGTCTACAGGAACAGGAGAGAGTGGACTGGAGAAAGAGTTAATAGTAATGGAGAATCCATCAGAGTCAGGAGTGATGGGGAATATGAATCTGGAACATAGGATGGAGGATGACATAATTATGAATATAGATATGCAGGCGGGTGAGGATGATCCTGATCAGCTAAATGGCAGTGGAGTAAACAGGGGAAGAAGAGTAAGACTCTTGAATAAGAAGAATGAAAGAGGTAGTTAACTACTGACAGAGATTCAGAACTTGGAACCTAGGAAAGGGATTAACACTAAAAGGAAGCTACAGATTATGGATGAGGAAATGATAGATACGGAATCTACTGAGCAGGTGGCTAAAAGAAACAAATCAGAAGGAGAGGTGGAATGCAATGTTCAGATTCTGAGGGTGGAAGGGACCAGCCCATCATGGTCCCTCAATCAACCATAAGAGTTCTAGTGTGGAACTGCCAAGGTGCAGGAAGCCCCTTGATAGTTTCTCACATGAAGGAGGAAAATAGACTCCTCTCGCCAAGTATTATTTTTCTCAGTGAAACAAAGAACAGGAAAAGGTACATGAAAAAAGTAAAAAAAATATTGAATTTTGATAATAGATTTATTGTTGAAGCTATGAATAGAAGTGGATGGATGGCTCTTTTGTGGACCAATGAAGTTAAGATTTCAGTAGTATTAAGCACAACCTTTACTATAGAGGCAAAAGTGGAAGATGAGGAGAAGAAGGTAAGCTGGTGGCTCATTGGAATTTATGCTAGCTGCGACAGTCAAGTGAGGAGAGGACAATAGGATGTACTAAACAAAAGGAAATCAAGATGGGGAGACAAATGGATTATCATGGGAGATTTCAATGATATCACATTGAATGATGAAAAATGGGGAGAAAGGATGCGAGATAACAGAAGCTTCAATGACTTTAGGAAGTTTATAAATGATAATTAGCTAGTAGATGTTGGGTTCGAAGGGAAGCCATGGACATGGAGCAATAACTGGTTTGGAAATGGTGAAGTACAAGAGATACTGGATAGAGGATTATGTTCCATTGAATGGTCACAATGTTATGAGGATGTAAAATGTACACACACTGAGTCTCATGCCTTAGATCACAGCATGCTAATACTAGAAACTCAGAAGGAAATGAAGAAATGGAAAAAAGGTTCCAGTTTGATAAAAGATGGCTTCAACAAGAAGAGATTGAGGAGGTGGTGAAGGAGGTTTGGAATATCCCTTGCGATGGAACTAGGTGGTTCAAGGTGAAGCAGAAAATTAAGAACTGTAGAGTAGAATTACTAAAGTGGAGCAGCAGTAAGAAAGGGAATTCACTTGAAAGAATTAAATAGTGCAAAAACCAGATTGAGGATATTAAGGCTTCAAATGCAGAAAATAAAAGGCAAAAAGTGCAGGAAATGAAAGGACTGTTGAAATTGGCATATGAGGATGAAGAGGCTTACTGGAATCAGAAATCCAGATTAAGATGGTTGAAAGAGGGGGACAAGAACACTCAGTTTTTCCACGCAACTGTTAAGGGAAGAAGGAGAAGGAATAGACTTCAGAAAATACAAAAACCTAGTGGAGAATGGACTGCAAATGAGGAAGAGTTGGGAATGGAAGTAGCTACATATTATGAGGATCTGTTCAAGAGTTCAGGGTCGGGGGAGCTAGAGAAAATCTTAGATGGGATTCCTAATTCTATAACTGAACAAATGAATAGGGAACTTACTAAAAAAGTGAATGAAGAGGAAATTAAGGCTGTTTTCTTCTCTATGAATCCTAATAAGGCTCCTGGTAGTGATGGCATATCTCCCCTATTTTTTCAAAAATTCTGGAGCATTATTAAGAAGGATCTGGTAAGTGCAATCCAAGGTTTTTTTCATAATAGTGCCATTTTTAAAGCCATAAATCACACTGTCATTTCTTTGATCCCAAAAGTTAACTATCCTACTGAGATTAAACAGTATAGGCCTATAAGTCTATGTCAAGTGGTCCACAAAGCCCTAGCCAAAATACTTGTAAACAGACTAAAGCCTTTTCTTTTTCGATGCATTAGCAAGAATCAATCTGTATTTGTTCCAGATTGACAAATTTTAGATAATATCATACTGTCTCATGAGTTGATGCACTTTCTGAAAAATAAAAAGACATGGTAGAGATGGTTCTATGGCGGTGAAACTGGACATGTCAAAGGCCTATGATAAGGTGGAATGGGATTTTTTGAAAGCAATGATGGGAAAGATAGGATTCTGCTCCACTTGGATATGATGAATTAATGCCTGTATTAGTTTAGTGTCTTACTCTTTCAACATTAATGGGGAGCATAAGGAGTACATCACCCTCTCTAGAGGCATAAGACAAGGAGATCCACTCTCTCCTTACCTGTTTCTATTATGTTCAGAGGGACTATCTAATCTGCTATAGAAAGCAAAGGTGGGAAAGGAGCTAACAGGAGTTAAGATCAGTAGAGGGGCACCTGCAATCACTCATTTATTTTTTGCTGACGATTCCCTAGTATTTTGCAAAGCTAATACTCAAGAAGCTGGGAAGTTAATGAAAATCTTCAAAGTATATGAAAAGGCTACAGGATAACTAATCAACATGGATAAGTTCTCAGTGTTCTTTATAGCAAAAATACAACAGAACTGGTGAGGAATGACATATGTCTCACAATGGGGTCAATCCAATAGATAGGACAGGGCAAATATCTTGGGTTGCCTATGATCATCACAAAATCCAAAGAGCAGGTGTTTGGTTTCATTAAGAACTCCATTGATAAGAAATTGCAAGGGTGGAAAAATAAGTTATTGAGCCAGGTAGGGAAGGAGATAATGCTCAAAGCAGTGGCTATGGCCATGCTTACCTATACAATATCGTGTTTTAGATTACACACTAAGCTGTGTAGAGATATTAGTGCTAAAATGGCAGACTACTGGTGAGGGGATTCAGAAGGGAAGAAAAAGATGCATTAGATTGGTTGGAGGAAAATGACTGAGAAGAGAAGTATTGGGGGAATGGGATTCAAGGACTTGCAAATGTTTAATAAAGCTCTACTGGCCAAACAAGTCTGGAAGTTGTTAACACAACCAAACTTGTTAGTCAGTAAAGTTTTAAAAGCAAAATACTATCCCAAACAATCAATCTTCAATTGCAAAGTGCCTCAGAATGTTTCATCAATTTGGCAAAGCCTATCAGCTGTCAGAAAAGAAGTTCAAAATGGCATCAGGAGGAAAATAGGAAATGGTAAAGGTACTAGGATCTGGGATGACAACTGGATTCCAGATAGGCCATACGGGAAATCAATTTCTGAAAAGTCTCGGGGGTGTCAACTAAAGTATGTCTCTGATCTGATAATCAACAACAGATGGAACACAGTCCTAATCTTCAAAATTTTCAACTCACAAGATGCTAAGAGGATTCTGAAAATACCTATAAATCTAATAGGGAAAGAAGACAACTAGTACTGGATGCATTCTCAGAATGGACAATACACAGCTCAATCTGGCTACAAGACTTGGATGAAGGAAAAGGAGATGGAGTGCACAAGAAGGAGGAAGGGAGCTGGACCAAGCTATGAAGGAACTATCACTCAAATCTGGAAAACACTATGAAGCAGAAGGTGAATCAGAAAATGAAAGTGTTCATTTGGAAGTGCCTGCATGGTGGACTACCTGTGAGAGGAGAAATTCACAAAAGAACAAGACAAGGGAATCCTATGTGTGCAGGATGTGGCGAAAAGGAAGAGTCAATTGAACACCTTCTGATCCAGTGCATCAAAGCTAAGGAAATATGGAAGATTGCACCAGTGCAGTGGGATGGAATACAGCAGCTGTTGGATTGTTTCATCAAATGGTGGTTTGCAATCATAGAAGCTCAAGAGAGCAGAGGAGGGGAGGATCAGGTGAACCTTACCATCAACATTCTATGGCAGATATGGAAAGTCAGGAATGATAGGGAGTTTAACCACAAAGATAGGGAACCTCACAAGATAATTCATAAATCCATGAAAGAATGGATGGAGTTCGATAAGGCCAACAAAGGAAAGATATCAATAAAGAACACTCAGGAAACAGAAATACATCAAAGAACTGTGGAAGAACAAGATCAAAATGAGAGCCAATCAAGTTTGCTGATCAAGGTCCACACTCATCAAGATAAAAGACAAGCAATAGTGGGAATTGGAATCACAGAAACTGACTCCATGGGACAAATTCAAGCAGGTTGGGTATTGAGGGAAAGAATGTCAGCTGATCCACTACAAGACCAAGCTGTTGCAGTGAGATTAGCACTACTGAATGCGGCCAACCAAGGATGGAGGAGTATCAAGATGGAACTAAATAATAGGGAATTGGTGGAGTGCATAAGAGACGCAAGGTACAGCAATCAACTAATGGCTACTCTAATAGAAGACATCCAGTTCAGAAGTAATTTGTTTCACAAGTGTTCTTTCTCTTTTGTTAATTCAGGGAAAGTAGGTAGTATTAAATTGAACTTGCATGCTCTAAACATCTTTTTAGATGAAGAATGGATAAACCCCAATCTTAGGTGCTAGGCACCAATGATTTTTGGTAGGACGGTTGTCCTTTTGATTGGACCTTTGTCTAAATACAGTAAAGTTTTCTATGAGATATAAAGCTAACGTTTTGACCGAAAAAAAAAAAAAAAAAGCCATCCGTTGCTCTCTTTTCGCCGCATTTCATCAAAACCCCTAAGCGGCCTAAACTCCTAAACCCCTAGCCCCATTCCAAAGTGCAAAAAACAACCATTGCGGGCTCCCAAATTACGCCATGCCCATAAACTTAGACCACTGTTCAATTTCCCTGTCCCATAGACAATTTCCCATTAATCCCACCATGTTTAAAAACGTAATTAAGCACTCAGATTTGTTAAAATCCAGTAATTTTCCTTCCTTCTTCAGAATAAGATCCCATTTTACCGCCATAAAAAATTCATCCAAGAGTAATCATTTATTTTCCAGAATTAGTCCTCTCAGACAATCCTCCGCTGTAGTTCCTGTCCTCGATCAATGGGTTGAAGAGGGCAGAAAGATCCAAAAGATTGAGCTTCAGAGGATTATTCATGATCTCCGAAGCCGCAGGCGTTATTCTCAGGCCCTTCAGGTATAACCATGGAATTTTTTTTTTACCGCTTTTCGTAGCTTACTTTTTTTTTTTTTTTGACTTGGATCATAGAAAATTTTTTAGGTTAATTTTAGGACAAAAAAGAAATGTGGGATTTTTAATTTAGGCCATTCTGTTTCTGTTCTCAAGAGGGTTCTGCTATTGGTGCTCTATAAGCAGCAGTTGGAATTCTAGCTGCTGAAAGTTTATGAAGTAAATCGCAGTTAAATTATCTTTTTTTTTTTAACTGTAAGGTGCAAAGAAATGGTACGAAATTAAGTACCTTTCATGAAATTAGTAGGATTAACTATTTTGTGACTGAAAAATGTGCTTGATGGTTCCCTTAATAAATACAACATAGATAAGTTATAAGATAGGGCAGAAGAATCATGTCATACAAGCAACTAAGCTGTATAGAATTCAATTTGTAGTTTAATGACCTAGTTCGATTTTGCACGATGTTTTGGGTGAAAATAAAACTATTTGGGGGCTTAAAGATAACTCTTTTTTTTTTGTGCCTCAACGCTTGAAAGGAGTAATGGCATCAAATAACTGTGTGTATGATATCTGTAATGACGGGGCCTTTCCATTTTAAATCAGCTTTTTTGCCAATTGTTGGCATTTTAAATCAGTTAATGTTAGTTTTTGTATAAACAATGAGAAAAGTTGGTCATTCACTTCTCCTGCAAGTGAATAAAGGTGACAGATGAGGAACAGCTGAACATAGAGTGGTACTGGGAACTGAGCCGACAAGATTTTCTCTAATGATGACAGTAGGACTATCTTTCTTTTTGTTCTCCCCTTAATTCTTTTATCTTAATTTTTCACTATCTTATTTCAAATTATAGTCGTGTATGTTGCCTGAATTACATATCTTTGTCTTTTCAAGATGTGGTGTAGTAATTTTCCGTGTTTGTAAAGGTTTTTGGTGGTTGATGCTTGTTTTGGCAGGTTTCTGAATGGATGAGTCATGAAAGTCGCTGGACATTTTCTCCTAGTGATTGTGCCGTGCATGTGGATCTGGTTGGCGTGGTCCAGGGATGGGATGCTGCCGAGCGTTACTTTGACAGCTTGAAAGACCAAGAAAAGAATGACAAAACATATGGCGCTCTTTTAAACTGTTATGTTCGTGAAGGACTCCTAGAGAAGTCTCTTTTACATGTGCAAAAGATGGAGGATATCGGTTATGCTTCGTCAACTCTTGTTTACAACAATCTCATGTGCCTTTACAAACTAACCGGGCAGCTAGATAAAGTCCCTGAACTGTTGGCAGAGATGAAGAAGAATGGTGTGTCTCCTAATAACTTTAGCTATAGAATCTGCATAAACTGTTATGGAGAGAAGTCTGATCTTACTAGCTTGGAGGAGCTTTTGGAAGAGATGGAGAACCAACCTGACATTTCCATGGACTGGACCACCTATTCCATTGTGGCCAACTACTACATTAGAGATAACCAGAAGGAGAAAGCAATTGTCTTTTTAAAGAAATTGGAAGATACATTACTCAAAAATGCTGTGGGGTACAATCACTTGATTTCACTCCATGGGCAACTAGGGAATTTGGATGAGGTAACGAGACTCTGGGGTGTTCAAAAAATTGTCTGTAGAAAGCAAATCAACCGAGACTACATCACGATGCTCGGCGCTTTAGTGAAGCTTGGTGAACTTGAAAAGGCCAAAGAGCTGCTGCAGGAGTGGGAGTCTTCTTGCCACACGTATGATTTCAGAGTGCCCAACATTTTACTAATTGGGTACTGTCAGAAAGATCTAACCGAGAAGGCTGAGGACATGCTTCGCAAGATTGTGAAGAAAGGGAAAGTGCCAACTCCAAACAGTTGGGGGATTATTGCTGGAGGATATATGAATAAAGGTAACATGGAGAAGGCCTTTGAGTGCATGAAGGAAGCTCTGGCGGTACAAGAGCAAAACCCGAAATGGGATCCAAAACCTAGATTAGTTTTCAACATATTGAATTGGCTTGGCAATAGAGGAGAGCTTGAAGAGGTACAGGCTTTAATTAGGTCGTTAAGGACAGTTGTTCCAGCAAATAGAAACCTGTATCATGCATTAATTAAAGCAAATATTAGAGACAGGAAAGATGTTGATTGGGTTTTAGAGAGCATGAAAGCGGATGGTGTCGAGGAAGATGCAAAAGTTGAAAAGATACTTGCCATGAGATGAAGGAAGCTGGGAACTTCACATGATTCTAAGAAATTTTCGCAGTTTTGGAACATGCATTTTGCTTTACTTTCGCAGCTCTTGGAGAAGCTCGTAACTTTTTGAGATGCAGCACCTTATAAGTCAGCTGCTGAAGGATACAAGTCTGGTGTGGCTTTTCATAGGCAGGCTTACCAGGTTTGAAATAGACATGTACAGCCAAGGGAGGTGTGCAGCATGCAGTGGATTTCGGGCCTCAATAATTGTGGAATGCAATGTAGACAATAAACAGCAAATGTGTAGAATTAGTGCAACAAATGTATACACTTGAACAATAAATGTAAATCAGCAAAAACTGTTAGTACTTGTTTTTTAATCAATTACAGCTATTGAATTGAAATGAAGTTGTACCCAAACCATGAAATACTTGTAGAGGCTTCCCATCCCACCGCAATTCAGCAAGGGAATTAGGTATAATGACCTAGGATTTGGTTGCTGTAATATACTAAATTGATCCTGATTTTAACCTTAAAATTCTGCAGTTTTAAAAGGGCATGCAAGAAATATTTATTGAGATGCTTTGGCATATTGCGTGGCAGTAATATATCATTTGAAAAAATTGCCAAACAGAACCCCCAAAAAAAAAGAAGACCTATAATGATAATAATAATAATAAGGAAAAAGAGAAAAAGAAAAGAAAAATGAATAAGCAGAGAGCTATATAAGCGACGCTCCGCCAAATTCCAGAAAGCACCCGATAGTCTCCGTTCTTTGGCGGTTGTAGACCCGAACTGAGAAGATGGGGAAAGACCGAAGCAAAGCTCCGGAAGACGAAAACGGAGCACCGGTTAACAAAGGCCGCGACTATACGTCCGAATCCGGACCGGAGTCTAGGTCCGAGTCCGATGAAGGGTCCAAAAAGTCCGAAAGAAGCAGACATAGCAAGAGAGACCGAAGCAACAGGAAGAGAAGCCGAAGCTCAAGTAGAAAAGCGGGAGATGATGAAGACGATAGCTACACGTCACCATCTGAGTCGGAGTCTGACTCGGATTCGTATTCTGATACGGAGTCGGGAAGCTCCGAGGACTATTCGGAGTCGGAGGACGAGAGGAGGCGAAGGAAAAGGAGAGAGAGGAAGAAGAGGGAGGAGAAGGAGCGGAGGCGGAGGAAGGAGAAGGAGAAGAAGAGGAGAAGAAAAGAGAGGGAAGAGAAAGAAGAGAAAAGAAGAAGAAAGAAGAAAGAGGAGAAGAAGAAGAAGAAGAAGAAGAGCGATAAAGGCAAAACAGGAGCCGTCACAAATTTATGGGGCAAATATGGGATTATCAGAGAAACTGATATGTGGTAGGCTCATTCAACTTCCATTTCTCTATTTTGTGTTATTATTGCTGAAGAATTAGGGTTAGCATTTATCGCGTAAATGTTGGAGCTTAATGCTTGCAGTAAAATTCGTTCTTTTATTGGTTTTTGAGTAGCTTGACTTACAATGGCAGAGAGCTTTTTATTTTGCTATTTAATTGTGGATTCATATATGTTCTTGAGCTTGACTAGCATTTTATTAGAATGATGGAGCACTGCTTGGTATAATAGTTTAGAGAATGGCATTTTGGCTAGGGAACGACTGTGGCATATTAGGTTGTTTGGATTCTGAAGATACCATGTATGCATCACTGCTGTAGTCTGAACAGTCTCCGATATGCTAGGTGGTTGATCAATCTTGATTCTTGATTGAGACATTACCTGGTGACTTGCTTTTGTTGCTGGATAATGATGACCTCTCTTAGGGGAATATGCTTTTAGTCATTCTCAGAGAACAATTGTGTTCATTTTCCTTCCACTTTGTGCCTGTTAACACAGGTGTTGCTTGCTAATTTATCAGTTATTTGGATGCCTTTTTCTTGCAGGAATAAGCGACCCGAGTTCACTGCATGGTTAGCAGAAGTGAAGAAGGTTTTCCTTTTATCTTGATTTTATTTTGAATAAAAAATGTGCCTTATGTACATGGTTGAGTTGTGATTTAGGACATTCAACTATAGTTAAACAATTTTCAATTGTCAGTTCCGAGTGATTATGCTGATATTCCTTTGGTTTTATAGGTGAATCTGGAAAGTCTTCCAAATTGGGAGGAGAAGCAAATGTTTAAAGAGTGAGTGCCCAATATGTTCTCAAACAGTTAATGTATACAAGTTTGTTCACTATATGCAT